CAACACAGAAAAACTTAGGAAACACAGCTTCGGTAGCGTGAACTAGGTACCCTCATAGGACAGATCTAGGGGATAGCCGAAATGAAAAATAATTTGATAGTCGAAAGGCTTACTAGCCAAGAAGTGCGCTTGGATATTGTGTGTGTTGGTGTTTATGGACAAAGGCTTATGCCAGCCAGCATTATAGGTGAAAAGTTGAAAAGCGCACGAGCTCAGTGGTCGTGAGTGGTCAGAAGACCCCCTGCGGGAATGAAACTTGAAATTTGCTGATTAAAGTTCAACAGCTGATTTCAAGCAACTAGCAGACCCCTGTTAAGGGTAGAGCGGAAATATGTTTGTAACACTTCAAAGCGTCAGGAACGAAAAGTGTTGGGATGAAAAGTAGAACTGCAAAGTAGAACTCACTCTTTGCTTCCTTTGACGACGCAATCCTTCCACGTAAACCAATCTGTGACAGATAAAACCAAAGTGACAGGCCAGTTACCGCCAAGATTGTTCAGCGTATTCAGCAACGTCATGTACGTGCCACCAACGCGTGGATCTGACACTTGCGCATTGAACGCCATCATCGATACAAACATGCAGTATGTTGCTATCTAAAGAAAAAAAAATGTTAGATGAAGAGTGACGACACTTGTCGAGTGAGACACTCGTCACGTCTACTTCAGAAAGTACTTCAAAAGGTTAAAGGCAAAACCCGCGATTGCAGATAAAAAAATCATGGAGCACGCCTAGGACCCCTTGGCTGCCTCAAGTGGCAACAGATACACAACCTTATAGTCGCTAAAAGACCACCCATATGGGAAATCGCCAAAAATAAGGAATCGCCTCAGAAACCCCTTGGCTGCCACAATGTACGAGATCTGTTTATTTTATGCCAGCAAAGCGAGATCCTGCCGCCTCTGGCTCAACAATCGTTTCCTTGCGTTATCCGGTGCTAATGCCATATAAAAGTAAAAAAAAAGAAAGAGAAGCAACGACTAAAAATGAACGTGATAGAAAATGGCTTTGGTAGAGGTACAGAATATTACTTTGGGTAGAACAGGACAGCTAACAAGAGCGTGCAAAACTTGCTCCATTTGATGAGGGCCATGGCGATTCCGTACAATTTTCTGTAGGCGGCGAGCGAGCGACGGTCATATCAGAGAACTTGGAGGCAGGTCATTTGAACAGGAGGAATGACGCCGATAAATTGCTTGAGTTTGAGTTTGTCTCTGGAAGCATCCCCTTCAAATCGCAAGCCAATGTGTTCTCAAAGGAAATTGCTTTCAAATCCATGGACTTTGAATGGAGACCTAGGTACATCGATAGAGCCTCGAATGCTGATTACGAATATGCAGATTAAAAGTGCTACGGGGACCTCCCAGACGAGATCTGGGATGGTCAAAGTTTGCGAAAAGTCAGTTTTGGCTCGTAAGCGCTGCTGATCGATGACGCGGCGCAGTGCCACCGTGGTCCTAGTGGTAATTTCTCGCTTCTAAGTCCAAATGCTCGTGGGTTTGCATCCTGTAGATGCGAAGGATTTTTCCTTTCCCCTCGTAGAGCTTTTTACTCTATTTTGAAATTTCTCCGGCGTTTCGACCTACCAGCCAGAGTAGTGGATAATTGTAGCGATCAGGATGACGTACTCGATTCTAGTATGATTTGGTCACTATCTGCTCCTTTCACTTTTATTATCCTAATTCCTACCGTCTCGGAAGTTTTGCCATCCAGATTCCCTAAAAAGCGTTTTCTTCTCAAATGAAGTAATATCGGTTTGGAGCGAAATCTCCCTATGAACGAGTTTCTCGGCCAGCATCTTGCACTGGATGCGGTAATATGTCAGGGAGGGCAGATATGACCAAATCCATACTAGATCGAGTACGTCATATACATGACATACTTGATTTACTTGCCCTGCTGGGCAAAGATCTCCTCGGAAGAATTTTGTAGAGTTAAAGATATTATAGGGAGCGAAGCAAAAATTTTCGCGCCAACCGGATGCAAACCCGCGTGCGTTTGACTTGAAAGCGAGACCGTTACCACGAGGCCACGGTGGCACTGCCGAGCATCGATCAGCAGCGCTTACGAGCCAAAACTGACTTTTCGCAAATTTGACCACCCAGATCTCGTCTGGGAGGTCCCCGTAGCACTTTTAATCTGCATATTCGTAATCAGCATTCGAGGCTCTATCGATGTACCTAGGTCTCCATTCAAAGTTCCATGGGAAGTTCAAACCATTCCCTTGTCAGTAACAAATAAGCAGTTTGAACTAAACTAAAAACCACACTTCGCAACTGCGATTCCCAGGCAGTAGGGTTCATAAACAAAAGTGTACGTGCTAACAAACTTACGATCAGAAAAGAGGGAACCACTCAAAAACGCTTAAACTAACAAGCGAGGTCTTTCGAGCCGTGGAGACCATTTCCAATTTTTGCTGTATGGTAGAGATACATGCGGAGACCACAAAAGTATAGTACATTTTCGCTGTGCGCTTCTGGGAAAGTCAAAGGAAATGTGAATGATAGGCCAATGGTTCGAATTTTCTAGGTGGCTAAATTTTCCATTTCTGCAATTTTTATTTTTTATATACAAATAAATCGGAACGTCTCGCCCGAAACAAAAACGAGTTAAAAAAATACTGGAATCTTATGGCAAAAGAAAACAGACGAGCTTTCTAATTTGCTTCTAGAAGCTTGTAGAACTTTTTTCGCCCCTCTGGGCACTCACACAAGCATGCAGCGAGAATGAATTACTTTCCACGATTCCGCATGAACCTCTACAATATGCAACTAACCGTGTCGAAAATGGGGTGCACAACCACAACCTTCAAGACCGCGCTTGTAAGTCCCTCTGACTTCTGAGGCAGAGTTCAGACTTTATGATGACGGGCGTTACACGCCACGACGCGCTACCATTGCAAATGCGCTCCAATGGTATACGGGAAGGCGGTCATAGACGGGTTCCAGTCGGTGCTGGCCACTAGTGTTCTGAAAGATCATAGGAAAACTGGAAGGCACGTGGGACCCAGTTACACAATCTGATAACCTACCACTCTTCTATGAAATCCTAAAACAATGGTGGCCGGCGGCGATTGATACTTGTGACTAGGCGACGCCTTTTCTCCTATGCTCTCTCAAAACACTAGCGTTCAGCGCCAATCGATATCCGTCTTGGCGCAATTCCAATGGCAACGCGTCGTAGCGTCGGGGTCAATTCTTCAGCCGCAAAAGCGTCATCTTGAAGTGTGGAAGCAGCCTAGTCATGAGCAAGCATGCGACGAAGTGACTACGTATTCAAAAGAGTTTTCGCTTTCAATGTTGCAACAACTTTTCCCTCTCCACTGATCCTTATCATTCCTAAGCTGCGGTACCATCGGAAATGACCGCGATTGTGAAGGTAGGCGGGACTAAACTAAATGGTCGGAGCCTAACATACATGGTACACCTCAAGCGGCTTTGCCATTCATTTTCGAGCCGCGAGGGTAGCGCATGTTGAGGCGAACCGGGCTACTTTATTCAATGAAAAAATTTCACGCATCGTACAATTGCGGGGAGTGCCTTTAACACTGATCGATTGACAAAACGATTTGCGAAAAATTTAGTAAAAATACCTGGTGAAGAATGTAACCGAATATCCAAATAACATATACGACGTTGTTGAATTTGCCAGTATCTAGTTTGAAATACGGTGTGAAT